CAGAGGACCTTAAAAAGTGAACTCGCAAGACGACCTTCAGAGAGCTGTGGGCATCGTTATGTGATTTTGCCAATCCGTATTTTCATGAAAGTAATGCACAAAGAGGACGTTAGTCTGAACGCCCCAGTCATGCTATTGGAGACCAAGGGAATCATTCGTTGTGTTCTTATGGGATCAACCTACAAATCTTGTCTTAACTCACTTTCATCGTCCGATCCGATGCAAAACAGAGCCTATCAACTATGCTTGCTTCTACTTGGAACGAGATAATAAGTATTTTCATTTTCCTGACAGGACGATATTATAAGCATGACAAGTTTAGAGGCTCAATCACTGCATACGAATAGTGCAAATGAAAGCAAATGAGGCAGTTCAAATCTTAGCTGCTTATTAGAAATAAAAATAAAGAGGAAACAATTAATAATATAAATGTAGATGAGTTTTGTTCACCCTATTTCGTTTAAGGTAATAAAGGGCTGATAGTAAATTTTATAAAAATGATATGAGTAGAGCTGAGGTTTCAATTGAACTTTACATGGCCTTGCTTTTCCAACAGCTGCTCTAATCCAGGATAGACTGCAGTTTCGGACTTGCATATGTGTTATCAACACTCCCAGCGGGACTCGAACCATGACAGTGCAGTGTGGAATCTCGACACGTTTACCACTACGCCGTATTGCCACGAGTGCTCTTGGGGCACATGGCAGATGTGAATTTCAAGGCAGATCAGGCATTTTCAAGATTACATTCTGTGTTGGGATTGTCGATGAAGCAAACTTATATTTGCTATATCAATTGACTGCATTACGTTTTTTCGTTAGTGAGTAGGTTTTCCAGAATGCCAGTGAATCAAATATATGAGTTGTGCCTACCATATTTCAATTAAGGTGATAAAGGAATAGTTATTAATTTTCTCGAAAATCTACTCTTTATCGAAATATAAGAGTAGTTTAGAGAGGGAGGAGAGTAAGAAAAGGCTCAAAATGCGTGACAATGCAAGGTTTTCCAAAGGCGCCTACCTGCCAGGCATGTCGAACAGTTGGGTAGGATCCATTTTGACAGAAACTTTTGATGACAACTGCAAGCCGCTGGTGAATTTGAGCCCAAGGCCAGTTGCATCGTTGGCAACCGCGTTGCCAGTGAGAGACATTGGTGAGGGGGAACGTGATTGAGATGCCGAGGTAGAGGATGAACTAGTCTGTGACTTGGGCCCAGTCTCCTGGACGTCATAGCAACCAGACACTGGACCGCTGGAGGAGGGAGCCTCGGTTCCGTTAGCACTAGCACTGGTACTAACGTTTGTATCACAAGAGCTAAGTTTGATTAAACGGCTGGGATGGGTTAGTGAACACTTTAAGGCCTTGAAGGAGGCCTTTGAGACTGGTGTGAAGAAGGGGGGGT